GAGGCAGATACAGCTGCTGTCCTTATCAAATTAATTAGCATAAATTGGCAGTCAGAAAAGCAAATCCACTTCCAGGTAGCAACTAGTTCCCTGCTTCAAATACAGAGCAAAGTGCATATTGAACATATCACTGTAAGATAATGCTCAGCAAACAAAGGACATTACACAAAAGCAATTGCTCTCCATACTGCTATCCTTAGGCTGTCCCCCCTCCAGCTGCAGAATTGTACATGCACTTTATACTTGATTTCCAACTGGCACAAATTGCTTCCAATTCCAGGCAAAATAGTGAAATGTAAATAAAAATACATATACCATGTTTTTTATGGTATATGTAAAAACAATGTGCCAAAACAATCAAAAATACATAAATTTGCTGAAGACTATGGAATTTAGGCATGGAATTATGCATTTTCTTCCTAAATATGATTGCTTTTCATAAATGTAGGAAAGTCAAAATTTATAAGCAGTGCTAATATTTATCACAACATTGTGATTGCACTACAGAAGCCTTCTGTAACATTTTTGCTCCAGTGAGATAAGAGCCAACAGTGCTCATCTTACCAATGTTTTTATATGCTTGCTCAGTAACATTATTTTGTGAGACATCAACACTTATAAAAAGAAATACACTAAGAAATATGATTTCAAATCATTCCAACGCAATTTTGGGTTAGCTCCTCGTAGCCATTGAATTATTTCAATTTCTTATATGTTACAAATATAAGGGGGGAGGGTTTAGATGGCCCCTGCCTTTGCCCACACTTCTGGCAGTAGGCAGCAATTTTATTAAGGTGGCCAGCACCCCAAAATCCACTCTTGCTCACAAATTCGTAACAATGACTGATCAGGTCCATTACAACATGAATTTTTTATTGAATAGACACCAGGAAAAGCAGATGGAAGGCTTTAACAGGCTTCTCACTACACAGGATAAACAAAAAACACTACTAGTAGGTTCACAATGATGCCTTGTGAAGGCTGACCTAGAACAGAGGCCAGACAGAGTTAAAGAATAAAGTAGGGATTTATTAAAAGGCCTCAGTAGATCCACCTTGGGCAGCACAAAAGCCCAGCCAGGGCGACATCCCAGGTGAACCCAAAGTGGTCACAAAAATGGTCAACCAGTCACGGGGTCTCACTCTTTTGTAAGTTCTGGTTCATTTGCATATTGGAGTTAATTGTCCAACTATAGCTTTAGGTTATGAAGTCACATCCTTCTTGTTTTTCTCTCTTCAGTCCATGTTGTTCGTGCTCTTGGACCTGAAATTTGGATCACTTGTCCTTGGTTATTATTTTGTTTACCTACTCTGTGAAGAGAGCTTACTATCCCCTCATATGAAGCCCAGATTAACACACTCAAAGCAGTAGAGAATCTGAAAAATATAAAAGCTAAAACCTGAGGCATATATAAGACAGTGCACTCTAATAAAGGTACCTATATTACAGCTAGCAAAGAAATAGTATAAATTAGAAGCCAGTGTCACTTACCAAGGAATTATGGTGGTGGGCAAAGAGTCTCCTTTCTCTCAATTCCCAGGAAAGTTACTTGAAACTGATGTCTTGGCTTTTGAGGAGAACTTCTCACATACCCAGAGAATGTGTAAATTGCAGTGGTCTTTTATAGTTTGTAGAAGTGCTGTGTCTGTCCGTCACGAATTTTAGCTAATCCCTTCCCCTCCACTCAAGGCAGGATGTTGATTGCTGGCTAAGGATATTTCCAAGGCAAGCTTACTCCAGCCTGACCTAGCCAAGGGGGAAGCAGATGAGCTTCTGCTGTGTCAGGGGTGAGAGATCCTGTCACATCATTATCGATAGCTGCTAAAGATCTGTCCTGGTCCTCTGATGATGATATCAACAGGTGTGAAGTGCTTTAACAGCATTAGAAGTGCTAAAAAACCTACAAATACTTTCCTCCTGCTTATGAGACACAGAGGTGCATGCTTGTCTCTGATGAACAGGAGAACAAGTTTCTCAGCAGGATGAGTAATGAAAGGCCCGAAAGACAACCCTTGTGTTTTGACCTATGTGCATTGGCAGTGAAGAATATTAAATATCATGAATAACAAAGGATCCTGCAGTTCATACTTCCATGTATGCTAAAACAAATGTGAAAAAAACCCTTTTCTTGTTTTTGCTTTTCATTGAGTGTTTTACTGGCACATAATTTTGAAATTAAAATTTTAAATGCCATTCTAGAAACCAAATTATGACACAAACCAAAGAGGTTTTAGAAGTTTTACCCTTTGTGGAATTTAATGTAAACTTACCAAAACACTATTCTTTGTAGAAATTCAGAAGGGATTCTTCTGGAACTACTATTGAAGTGCTTGAGGAGCACACAGAGACTTTAATTTTTGACTAGGATACGATATTTTTCTGGCAAACAAGAAGTATGTCAGAGTTTCAAACTTTTGAAGCTCTAATAGCACAGTGGGGAAATTGAGCTGTAGATGAACAGATTATTCAGAAACCACAATATCTAAAATAGCTAAAATGTAATATTTAATATGATAATTTATACCTGTACTAGAACTACTTCCAATTAGGAAAAAAAAAAAAAAAAAAAAAAAAAAAAAGGTAAATAAATTCTTAGAAGAAACACAGGGGAAAACACCAAACATTCATTTAAGAGATTCAAGCTGACCAAGCAAAGGCAAGTAAAATTTCTGATTTTCATTTGATGTTGGCATAGGAACCTGCTGTATGCTGGTCAATATGACTGAAACACAAAATACCCTCCAGCAATAGAATCACCAGATAAAGAAATTTCATTGAGACAAATTATACTCCAGCACTAGGTGATTCTGTTGGACTTCATGCTCATGCTTCTGTCATTTACCCTCCACTCTGCATCCCCTCCTTGTAGGTCCTGCACAGGTTCATTACAGAGGTCACAGCTGGCATTGCCAAAACCAAGATATGAGTACAAAAAGTATTTTTTAATAAGAACTAATGCAAGCTCTGGTTTGGGAGAGAAATGCTGTTCTCTTTGTGACCTTTTGTCTTCTGCAGCCTAAAAGAAGGATGAGTTATACAGTGACTGTCCTGAGACTGAACCAGCAAGGATGCTTTTGACAATACAAGCCACTGTCAGCTCTCATTTCAAAAACTGAATTTCGAGAGAGACGGATTGGGCTTTTATGAGAGATGTCACTCTATTGAAACTAAATTTATTTTCAGAGGCTCCATAAACTGGCTGAGTGAAATCGTAACTGCATTAACTTTTTAAGATATATTCGAAAAACTGTATTTCATGGAACTGCTGCAAAGCCCAGACTTAGTGCCTATAAATCATCTCCCAAAAAGGAATTCATTCTGACATGTTTTATAGAATATAACTCAATAATAAACCCAGACTCTCCAGACTGCACATGGGATGCCCAGCTGTATTTGTGCAGGATTCCCAATGCACCACCAGATTAGGATCTAGCATGACAAATTCAATTGGCCGCTTGTGGAGATTAGGGGACTGCAGGTCATATTTTTTGTAAAACTGTTAAACATTTAGCCTGATCTTTCCAGCAAGTCTCACCAAGGACATTCTACACTGTCATTAACTAAAAGGAAGCCCCTGTCATATAAATCAGTTCATGCTTCAAAAAGTTTAAATATAGCATCTTATTCTCCAGAGTATGGAAATTCATTATCCTACCCATATATTATGGTGGAGCAGCATCCTTGAGACATGTTCTTCAGAGACCCTTGTTTTTCTAAGCCCAGGGAATTCCTCAGGTATCAGCCAACAGCACAAAAAAAATGATATCTGAATGTCAATCATCGCCCACGTGCTTTTTCTAACTCAAGCATCTTTACTCTAAGGTGATTGGTCTTTTCCCTCTGGAGTCAGGTTGAGTGATGATGTAGCAGCTCTCTCAGTTGTGGTATTAACATTTCAAGTTAAGGCTCAACTCACATCTCCATCTGAGAGACAATGTACGAGACCTTAGGCCTGCAAGCACTGCAGGGAAGTTTATTTTGATTCTCAAAATCCCCAGTGTTTTACAGATTGGAAGTAAACCAAGAGGCCGCAAGTTAAAATTCCTCCTATAGAACACAGAAATGTGCTGTTGAGATTTCAAATCAGCATTGCTCTGGGGAAGAATGCTGAAACCCTGCTGCTTTTTGGGAAAACCCTAGCAAGCACATTCCAATGGCATGTCCTAAACCTGACCAACAAAAATCCACTCCTCCCTTAACCCAGTGACAGCCGCTTGCCCCTGCAGCTCTCACAGCAGAGCACATTTCTCCACAGAGAGATGAGGCTGTGTGTTGACGATCCACGGGTCAAGCCTGTGGACAGGAGCCTCAGGACTGGTAGCTTTCTTTTTCCTGTTTTTTCTGAGCAGCTGCAGCAGTCTGTGGTGGCAGCTGCAGCAAAAAGCTCCAAGTTTGGGTCACTTTCCTTGGTAACACTTCTAGCTGATGGTGGCAGCTGCAAGATGTTGCTCAACTGAGTGGGTCAGAGTTTTGCCATGGAGAAAATCAAAATAGTTTTGGACTACTTTTTTCCACAGGTCACTCAAATCTATTTTTTTAGCATGGCTGTAAGCATGACTGTAGCATCACTTACGTTGTTTCAAAAGAAAGTTTTCATCTTGAACTCATTCCCAAAAACAGGCATGTTCTAGAAATAGCTACATCATCTTTATGATATTTCTACTTTCTCAGGATATGGAGAGCATCAGAAAGTAGACTTCTGTTTTCACAAACACACAGATTGAATTTTGCATGTTCATATTTCACTCTGGTTTTTTTACTCATTTCAATACTGAAGAAGCTATTCAGGAATCCAAGAGAAAAAAATCAAAATAACTTTTCCACTGCATAATCTCTGAAAATTTGAGGAGTTATGGAAAGTTAAGTGCAGTTAGAAACGTAAGAAACAAACCTAAGAACACTTGTCATTTGCTTTATTTTTCTTAGGAAAGAGAAGGAGCAATGTTTAGATTCTCTCTCCTCTCTTCTCTACCAAGTACAATTTTAAATTTCCACATTTTCAAGTGGTATGGCCAAAGCTGTAAAACCAATTGTCTCAAAAATGTCACAATAAAAAGAATTTTAAAAAACCCCCAAACCTCTATATAATATTGGATAGATCAAAGAAGTGTCTTTCTACTTTAAATCGTGTGAAATAGTGACAACTGAAATAGATGCCAGAGCCACAGAGTTGGTTGGCTGTAATTATTTACAGTGTTCTCTGAACCAGAAAGACAACATGGCCGTAATCAGTGATAGTTGTAGAAGGCTGGAAAAAAAGGAAAACAAAAATAGCAGTCACCACTGAACAGGTTGTCGCAGTGCAGTGCTATGGGAAGCTGGAAGAAAAATAGCACAACATTCTGAAAATCTCTAGTACTGAAATTCAAATTCCAATAATTAATCTTATTACTACTACAGCACTTCAAAACCATAGCATTTAGCATTCAAATTTCATTTTACAAGTGATATTTTCAAAAATTAGATCTCTAGTTAGAATTCTACCATTTAAAATCCACACTTTTAAAGAAACTTATTGAAGGAACCAATAGATACAAGAAAAAAAATCTAAAATGGATAGTAATCTTACAATGTCATTCTACTTTAACAAGTTGTAAAAAGCATACAGCAACAATTCACCTGGATGGCTTTTATGATTTGATTTCTGCTCACCTGTTATAAATGTGCATATAGGAAGGAAATCTTCCTCATCAAGTTTTCTGTGGGACAGGAAACCTCTTGAAGAGAGGAAAGGTAAGAAGAAACAACTCTTCTTTCTTCTTACACTCCCCCTAGCACCTTGAAGTCTGGATTTACATCCCATTACACAGTCAGGAAACACACATAAATAAAAATAAGTGTTGGCAGGAAACAGGTTCACCTGGGTTTAAACTCTGACACCCAATGTAAAACATATTAGACAGATTTTGGCTTCACTGCAGTCAGTGAAAATATTCCCATGAATGTCAAAATGGGCAGGATTAATTTAATGTCATTCACTAGGATCACTGATGTCTACAGAGGCAAAGAGAAACTGTTCTCTAATATTTTTCTGTAAAACACAACCATAGTTGTGGTTTCTCACATAGATGCTGAATAAAAGAAAACTAGCTTTAAATATAATCCACATTCTTATTTACATCTTAATGAAAAAAAATTCACTTTTGGAGCTAAAATGTTCCACACTCGCCCACAATTGCACTGTGGGGTTTTTCCTGCAATTCTTTGACATATACACATCAAAGCATTATGAATAATAGAGAAAAAGAGAAAATCATCTTCAAAATACAAGTGTATGAGGATATTATAAGAGTGACGTGAATCTGCTTATTACATTTAAAGGAGTAGAAAAATAATATTGACTCATGTCTTATTTCTCAGATCCCCAAACTATTGCATATCATCCAGAGATTAGCCCAAGGCAAACAGATATACACTTTAAAATTATGATTTCTTTTTCTCAGTACAAGCGATCCTTGAAGAAAAAATTAACCATAAAAATGCAAAGTCTAAAAATTGTAAAAAGCAAATTGGAAGGAGGGCTGTACCTTGACTCCACTTCTAGTGCTTGGCCTCAGGGTCAAAAATAAAGGCTGTTCTCCACTGGAAACCCCCAGCCTAACAGCAGCAACCCAACATTCTTCCATCCTATGGACATTACTCTGCCTTCCTGTTCTGCCAAGACCACCCAAACACATCTGAGCTTGTGATGAGGCATCTCTGAAGCACACAGGATGGGAATGATTAACAAGTACTGCAGGGGTGGCTCCTGTGCAAGGACAACCTCCCCGAGCACCAGGAATCATCCAGATCCTCAAGCATGGAAAGAAGCAGGAAGGGAGATCACTGGGGCCAGCACAACCCAGCACTAGTCATGTTCTCCACACTCAAATAAGCTAATCCTAACCCCATCTGTGGGGTGCCTGCTGTGTCCTGGCCATTTCCCACATGTAGGCAACCTCAGAATTTTCCTTTTTTCCACTTTCCTCCCTCTGGTAAGCACCAGGTGGCACTTGCTCATCTGAATACTTTGGTACCAGGTCACCAGGCCGGTAAGGTTGGTACACAACTTTTCACACCCAGGCCTTAAGGACCAGAGAGGGAGACTATTAATATTTTATGCATGCTGTGGCACTACACAGGATAAACAAAAAACACTGCTAGTAGGCTCATAATGATGCCTTGTGAAGGCTGACCTAGAACAGAGGCTAGACAGAATTAAAGAATAAAGTAGGGATTTATTAAAAGGTCTCAGTAGGCCTTTTAGAGCTGTGCAGATGTTTTGATTACATAATTAAATCAACCTACTTGATCTCCTAAAAGACTTTACAATGTCCCCTTCTTTCACTTTGAAAACAAGAATAAAATCCCCTCTGGCAGCCTGTTATATACTCATTGAGCCCAGCGTGCTGTACATGAGTTTCACAACATCACCCACCCCTCTGTGTACACAAAAAAAGGGAAATTAGAGTAGAATTGGGATGTAGTGCATGTGGGTGTTTTAGTCATGTTTTTGGACTGCACCACAATCTGTGTAGCCATGCCAGAAAGAGGAGGAAAAACTAAGTGCAGAAATCTATATTCCCTGTCCAGAAAAGGCACTGAAACACTATTTGGAATCCCAATGAAGACAAATACTTCATACATCACTACAATACGCCTCCTAGTCATAAAGAGAGTGACAATTGTAGAAAATTAGCTGAAAAATGCAAACAACGCTATGATCCATCCTTACCCTCTAACAGTAAACATCAAGTTTTTCCAAAATAGAAAAAAAATTGCATCAAAGCTGAAAGGCAGAAAACAAAGTAGACACTTAAATTAGAAATTATTTAAATTGAATTTTAAATGAAGAATGCCCAGAAGCTGGCCTGTTTATGATAAACCTCAGGGTTTCTGCTTGGCTGGATTCACATAAGCAGAGGAATGATAGCCTCATGTATTCATTAATCTATTACATTCCAGTTAGAAATGGAATATTGCATTAGCATGCAGAAGGGCACAAACCAGCACTACAGGGGAAATCAGTATTTCTGTGGTAAGCACCGGAGAATCACAGTGCACATCTGTATAAATAATGAGGTAAAGGGAAAAAATGAGATTGCAGTGTTCTGAGGTTCATTTGCCTTGATTAGAATACTGACGTTCATTTTAACATGACAACTGTTCTGAACAGCCAACCAAAGGCCAATGTTCAGCACTGTTCTGTTAGAAGCTTCTCCTTCCTTCTCTCCCATTTCCCTAAAAAAAAAAAAAAAGATAAAATAATGCTCAGATATGCTGAACTCTTTCATTCATTCATGACTTCCAAGTTTCAGACCCAATTCAAAGGGTTTACTGCAGCACTCAGTTTTAGATATATAATTTACTCAGAGTTGTTCCAGTCTAATTTGCAGTTCAACAGTGACATGAACTACCTGAGGCTTTTATTCTGAAGAGCAAAAAAAAAATTCAACTTTTGACAGCAGTATCTTTTCCTTGGAAAATGCTCTAAGAGATGTTAGCAGCAGATGGCCTAGCATGCTGATACAAGCTTTGTACCTATCTCTTCTCATCATCTTTAATAGAAACAAGCCAAAAATGCTCATTCCTGCATCATACATGTTTCTTATGCTGAAGTCTTCCACTCCCCTCTAGTAAGTTCATATTTTCCAAAAAAGGTATCCAGAAATAGTCATGCATTTCTTAGTTTTTCTGCCTTTGGAGGCCAAAACTCTGCTGGTTTGGGCTAGACCCTTGAAGAAGACTGTACAGGAGGCACTAGGATGCATTGATGGGCAACTTTTCAATCATGTATTGTGCCCCAGAAAATTTTAGAATTAAGGCAACTAAGACTACAGACGAACACCAAATCTGGCCAATCATTTTGGCTGAAAACCTATTTTGTGTTTAAAACCTTTTATTTTGACATCATTGAAATACTTGGAAGCATCTAATTCCTAAACACACTGAAACATAAACACTTCAAAGCAAAAATATTTCTGAAACATAAGAGTTCTCAAAGACTAGTTTTGTTCAAAAAACACCCCACTATCTCTTTCCCCTCAGCTATCTGATTTTTTCAGCAGAAAATTAATTTTTCATTGGCCCCCTTGGGAATCTGAGGGAGAATTCAGAAAAAAATGAGAGAGGGGAGAAGGGAAAAATACTCAGGCCTCAAGGATTGCCTTGCCCATGTTGTGAATGTGTGGGGGAGTGGGTTGGAGACAAAGACAACCACTGCCCTGATGTCCATGTGGCAAGAGTTTATTCCTCAAGCCCCTCTTTATTAAGGGGGGGGTCTCAGAAACCCTGTCTGGACAGCTCTCTGGTCTGATCTTTTATGCACTCCAGATCCTGGACCAGTGAGATGCTTAGGATGGAACAGAATTGGTTGAGATTCCTGTCTTTCAACCCAGAGGCTGGCTTTATGGAGCTGGCTGTGTTTATTTATAGCCAAATTAATTGCCCATACAAGCCAGCTCGTACTGTGTCATAATGTGACAGCACCATGCCAGTGAAGGCAGAGTGGAAAAGACCAAATAATGAGCTAGCCAGTATTGCAGCACCTTCAGCAAGAGAAACTGAAGAGTACATGGATCCCAAGACATAGGACCTAAATAAACATCCTGCTGATGGTCCAAGCAGAAAATCTGCTTTGTTCTTCGGTTCCAGGAACTTCACATCCTCTTTGTTCCCAGGATAAATGACTCCTCCTTTCATATAAATATCACAAAAGCAGAGATCCTCAATACATCAGCTAATATACATATGATGATGTATAATACATACTCAGATTACCCTAAATATTAGACCTAATGTGCAAATCCCAGAGAGGCAAGCAAACAGGAGATGCCTTGTTCAGAAGTCACTTGGCCAGCTGTCAGGAGGTATGTCAGTACCTCAGGCTGGTTCAGCCCACTGACTTGAAGGCAAAATGCTGACAGATTTATGTTATAGCAATCACTCTGTTATTAATAAATTTCAATCTGAAATACTTTCAAACGACATCATTTGAAGGGCTTAAAACCAAACAGAAATTATTTCATTTTCCCATACTTGAATATATGGCAGGTTAGCTACATTCAGTCCTGCCTGAAGGAGAAAGAGACATTAGCATAGCAAAAATCAGAGATTTTAACAAATCTATTAGAAGATTAGATCTGTTATTTTAGGAGGTGTTTGCCCTCTCATGCATGTATGGTTAGGCACAAAATGGTTGTGGTTGAACAATTATTCAAAAAGGCAATCTCCTAGTATAATTCTGCTGGAATAATGTGTACAGCATTCGCATTCAAATAGACAATCTGTGAGTGTTCAGTAAGGAGGTCTTTTTATACTGAACATCTTCATTTCAGTATTGGCAGAAAGGAAAGAGAATTGAATAACACCAGTCATTTTAAGTCCCAGTTCTCCAATCTACTTCAATTATCCCCTTATCACTTCTCGAAACTACAGTACCTGTTTTCTCTAAAACTCTGCAAGACTTAAGTTCAATTTGCCACCTCCACTGCTGGCTATTAAACTGTGCATACCCTACAGGGGTGTAATTAAGGAAGCATTAAGATTCTTTCACCAAAGGACAGTTCATTTTTTGCTGCTGCACTCTTTTTTCAGGAGATTACCATCTTGGCAGCCGTTGTACATCCTAGAATCGATTTGCATCCGAAGGATGGAGGTTCAGGACTGAGCAGTTTATCTTCTCATTTCTCATTTATTACCACATCACTTGGCAGTGCTGCTGACCTTTCTCACCTTGGAAACGGGGACCACACACTATTGGGACCATGGGAACAGAGACAAAATCCCTCTGAAATAATATACTAATGATAAAAATATTAACAGCATGACGATACCCTAAAAGTTCCAGTGTTAAAAGCAGGCTGTTATTGCATCCACTCTCCTACTTGCCTTCTTGTCTCCCACTAAAAGGTTAAAGTACTGATAATTGTGCATCCAGACATAGTTATTTGTAGTTACAAACAAAATACTACACTTTGTCTTCTGCTGGGAGCAGCAGTCCCTTCAGGAGGAAGTGCTGTCCCACTCTGTCCTGCAAAGAGGGCCATCCCAGTTCAGAATCCTCCTGTGTGCCCCTACATTGGCATCAAAGGCACCATGCATCCTGTTGTACCATTTAGACACCTCTGCCATGATCCTGAAGCAGGAACAGGAAGCCTTTAGGAAAAGAAGGAAATTAAAGAACTGAATGAGCGAAACATTCGAAACTGCAGTCATTAGGGAAGTAGTGATGGAATTAGCCTGAACTGATGGAATTCACTGCAGAAGATTCCTAAGGACACTTCAACCCCCTTGTGTACCCAGAGAGAGATTTACTGCCATCACCAGTGCTGGCTGTGCCTGCTGTGCATGGCTGAAAGAACCAGCATTAATAAATCCACCAGGCAGCACCAGCAGCAAGAGAAGCTGGACAGTGTCAGGGCAGCTGTGAGGGAGAGCAGCAAAAATTCATCTATGACACTGCAGTTCCCTTACTCTTCCCATTCAGGTTTTGGGTGGGATACAAAACCTGCCATGCTTCCTGCTCTTCTCCCCGTGCACCCAAACTCTACCTCCTCCCTTTTTCATCTGAAAAACAGCAATCTATTCACATTTCCCTTGAGGGAATCACACATACCCCCACTTCCT